CCTGGAAATACTATATATCTCATTTATTAGCAGTACATTTTAAAGGCTTCAAATGTGCTTGTTATAGATTGAATAGTTATTTTCTTCCAAAACTCATACGCTGATGTCCTGTCCCACCCAAGGTGGTGGAATTGAGACATGGAACTTTTGGGAGGTTATGGAACTGGATACAGCCATAAGAGTGATGAAAGAGCATCTTCACACTTCCTCTCTTGTGTAAAGGAGAAGTCACATGACCACAATAGTGTGGCAGCTGCTAGCAGGCCTAGAAAAGAACACTGATGAAGGCTGCCTTTCTGGGTGCAAACTCTAGAACCATCAAAACGCATGTCTGTTGCTTCAGCCACATCAGCAGGGCTATCGTTCCATACAGTTGAAGAGACACATCATCACTGCATTCCCAAGTGAAAACAGAGCATTTTTCTTGTGGATGATGAGGACAGGTCTTCCTGCTTGGGTGGCGTGGGTGGCAGTCATTTTACTGACTGGATCATTTCTCCAGCCCTTAATTACACTTACATGCAAAGTAAACACATTTTTCTGAACCAAGCCAAATAAAACAAACACCCTTAACATAACTAAAACCAAAAACTTAAATGAGATGTTGTTTTATTTCCTTTATATTCACTACTGATTTTCAAGTTAGTTTTTAGAAGAGTTAGTCCAATCTACTAACACTTTCCTTATTTCTTTCCTGAAGAAGAGGAAACAAAGAAATCCAAGAAACATAATAACACTAAAAATCACAGAAAAATGAGTTATTGTGATAGAATTTTTGACCTTTACCCCTGTAAGCCAGCCATCAACTTTTGAATTAAGTGATCCCATTTATCTTTGAAAAGTATCTTTCACACTTTTAAGAGAGTTACCAATTTTAGCAAAAAGAAAATTAAGTGTGTAATAACCTGGCACCCATTTCACTTGCATAATTTTCCCATTTTTCACTTTGTATTTTCATTTTGAGTCAAGGCAATTAGCAAAAAGTCGGAACATTAGAGTTCTAAATAGAAAGACACATCCATTACCCACCCTTTCAGCTTGATACTCTCAACCTCTTAACAATAAGTATAGACCCATAGAGAACTCCAGAGAAACAGTTTACCAAGAGCAAATTATGCGCCATATTTTTAAAAGCTTTATACAATTTTAGAGCTGGGATTAAAAACTACTTTAATTGAGATTTGTTATATAATTTATGAGTTGGAATTAAAAAGTTAGATAATCTATAAAATAAGCAGTTATAACCTGTGTGAAGTGGGATGTAAAAAGCCAGGCTTGGAAGCACTTCCGTGAAGGCAACCACAGGGAGAGAGAACATTTTCTGGTGGGCATTTTGGTAGGGAACATAAAAGAATCACATGCTGGTGGTGTTTTAACTCAGATCTAGAGCCCTGATACTCAGGGCTGTCTGTGAATCAGAAGTTTTGATATCACTTGGACATCTGAGAATGGTGTGGAATTCCAAGTTCTCAGGTATTATTCCTATTAGACCAGAGCTTGTATATTAAACAAGACTACCAGGTGCCTGTGACACTTGTTGCAGTTTAAAAGCATGGACTTAAAAGATGCAAGTAGTAAGTCTTAGGAAGAGTAGAAGAGATATTCCAGGTAAGAAGTGAGACAGGACCAAGGAGTCAGGACAAAGTTTATCTCATTGGAAAATCTGGAAAAAGGGAAGCCTGGAAACAGGATGGATGAGTGACGGGACTGATGTGTGTCAGGCATAATAATCAGGCCAGTGCAAACTGTGTTTATGTATTTTATCAAGAGAGTTCTTAATTTCATACAGTAGTTGGTAGTTTCTTCAGTAATTGACACAAAAATCTGTGTAGCAACAAAGCCTGAACTTTTTCATTCTTTCTGTCTCTCTTTGTGAACCACGGAGTTTAATTAGAGATGCCTACAGAAGCATGGATGAGCAGTCACTACAGAGGTGTGAACAACTTGTTAGAAGCTACACCACTGAAGATACTATCTCTCCCTCCACCAGCAACCACTAACTGACTGTAGATTTTCAAGAAGTTGGGGGCAAAGCCTACAGGATTGCATCCTAGGGAGGCATGAAGTTGGCATTACATTTGGATGTGAAGTGTTTCTCTAAGTGTTGGAGGCTGTGTCTCTTGTGCAGTGTATTAGTGGCAGAGCTCTGGGAAGCAGCTGGATCATGAGGGTTCTAACACTGTAAATGGATTTATGCATGGATGGATCCATAGCCTAATGGACTACTGAGGTGGTAGAAGTTTTAAAAGGTGGGTCCACCTGTGGCATATTCAAGAGTATGTCTGTCCCCACTCCCTCCCTCCCATTCTGCTTCTGAGCTACTGTGAGTTAAGCAGCTTTGCTTTTCTCCTAGTCATGGTGTTCTGATGTATCACAGGAGCAGAGCAACAGAGTCAAGTGACCATGCACTGAACCCACTGATGCCATGAGCCAAAACAAACTTCCTCCTTTAAGTTGATTTTCTTATAATCAGTGGAATGCTGACAACACAAGTGGATACTGAACATACTACCTACTCTGACACCAGAAAGAGAGTCTAGGACTATAATGGGTAGTGGTGGGTGATGGTGTTTCTCTGGGTTCCTGGGGTGTGCAGTAGGGAGAGTGCAATGTGCCAGGAAAGCCTGGAAGTGGCACTGGAGATGTACAGTAGAAGGCTGAGCCTGTGACCTTCTAGGTACTCAGCTTTCCTAATTAGCTGTGAACCTTTACTTCAGGTACTCTTCAGAAAACATTTCTCTATCATGGCCACCTTGAATTCCCTTTACTCTTTGTCCATGGATTAGACTACTTCATGGTTCATTTTGCTGCTGGCCATTGTCTTGTGAGTCCCATGCGAGGTGATACCTAAATGGGGCCTAAAAATGACTGTCCAACTAGTTACAATAGCCTGAGAGTGGATCCCTATGTCTATACAGTTCATGGTCAACAAGGACAATGTTGGCTATAGTCAAGTACCAGGTTTCCTTTAAGGAGGCACCTGCCCCATCCAACTCTTAGGTATTGCTTCTTTCACCCAAAACAAGTGTTTCTTTTGCCTTTGTGGCATCTGAGCATTTCATACTAATCAGCAGTTTCACCAAGAAGACTCAACGGCTCTACCTTGTTGGTATTTGTATTGCTCTATTTACTACCTACCAAGTGACTGAAAGCTGATAGCTGACTGGTGATCATGGGTTTGGTCCTTTTGAACATAGTGCAAATGTCTGTATTGAGTCACTATTTGACCAGTTCATGTTTTTCCACATTTTTAAGTCAAGGGTCTTGAATAAATGCTGTTTATGACTAAGCTCAAAGGCAGACTCTAGTGTAGTTTGTGCAATACTACTTGTCTTCTGGGAAGGAAGCAGAGAGGTATAGGCTAAGCAGTCCTGCACCTACCAGCATGAAGCAAATCCTGCACTCAGGATGTGGACTGCTAGCTCAGCACAGGAACTAGTCCAGTGTACGTCTGGGATTAAACTAGACTTCAGAACTCGGTTTGTCACCTAAGGGAACAAGAGGCCAATAGAGGCCGAAAACCACACCCATGGACAGGAGCTGCTTCTCAGGGAGACCAAAGCCAAGCGTTTCTCCCTGCTGAGAAAGCGGCTTTCCTGTGCCCATGTTTGGCTCATCCAACCTCTTAATTTTGTCTTCAAAGAATCAAGACATTAGTTTGTATAAGAAATACAAACTAAGAGGCAAAATACCAATCACAGCCTTTTAGAGATTAATGAATTTGAATTCAGTTGCCCTGAGTTTGACCCACTGAGAAAGATTAGTGCCTGAGAAGATAATTGGGAAGAGGATTTTGATAACAATAATAACAAATAATAATAACAATAACAGCAATAATAATAATAATAATAGTAATAATAATAATAATAATAATAACAAAATTGCTTTTGTGCAACCCCAAAGAACTATGTTTTCTCTGTTGGAGAAAATGGAAGTAACTGAGGACAGAAACATACTTGACAGTCTAGATATTATCATGTTAATTGTTGACACTTTTACTGTTCTCCAAAATAGAATTGGAAATTTAAATTTGTTGAATTGCTCTACTCTTTAGAAGTGGAACATTTCAGTCCAGTGGCTGTTTTTCCACTTGGTAGTGGACAGATGGGGTGAGAGGAGAAGGCAGGGACAAGTTCACCATCTAGCCTTTAGTGGTAGTGGCTCTGAGGCTACACCCTATGTCAAATCGAAGAGTTTAACAGGCAGTTAGCCATAATTGTAATAAACTCAGCTACTTTTAAAAGCTGAATCTTTTTCTCCTTGTGTATACTGAACTCTGCCAAGAGAAAGAACTTGTATACTCTTTTATAATGGGACAAGGCAGCTGGAATCTGATGGAATGGCCTTATAGGAAGGCTGATTTCAGATGGCTTGTTCTGACACCTCATTTCATACGTTGTCAACAAAGTCACTTCAGTGAAACACAGAACATTAACAGTCCACAAGGAATTGTAAACTAAATGCTGTTTAAGTTCTAATCAATTAGTAAAAATTGTGCAGCATGTTTTATCCTTTTAAGGCAATGTTGGGATTTTATCTTCCAGTTTTTTTTTTAATGGTGACTTTGCTTTTTACTTTGTTGTCTAAAAAAAGTCAAGCTTCTATATGTACAAAATTATTAGAGTGTAATTTCAATATATATATATCACAAAGACTTAAAAACTTGATTCCCTTTTTATGAGAAATATTTAAGTTAATTTATAGTTGCTACTCAGTAAACTATATCAGATTGATACTCTCTGAAAAATACCATTAACAGTGTATTTGCAGGTCTGGCAATTACTTTGCTTGAGAAAGGTTCACGGTTGACTATTTCTCACTGTGTTTTATAGCTTCAGTGGATTCAGTGTTCAGATGTAAAGTTTTTACGATGTATATAAGCATTAACTGAATGAAATGCAGTTCAAAGGAAGAATTTGCAGCAATGTTTTTATAGAAAATACAGCATAACCTTTAATTTCTGGTCGCACACAGGCCAATAGACTAGTGTGGGAACTTACTTTCCGATTGTATTGGGTAGCATAGTGAGTTGATTGTCATCTACTTTTAGAGTTGTTAGCTTTTTCAGCAGTCCTGAAACAGAGAAGAAGTTTTATTAATATACCAGAGCAGGAAATGTCATTGAAAGAAATCATAGGGCTCACTTATGTTGAATGCATGTTGTTTCAGTTGGCTATGTTCTGCATATATAACACACAAACAGACAGACTAGTTTTGAGTTTTTGTTGTAAAAATTCAAATGTCAATGGGAGTAAATCAGAGCAGTTAAGTAAACAAACTTGGGGTCCACACACTTGTCAAGAGATGCACCTACATCTCCTTTTTCTGTTTTCCAGCAAATGGACCAGTAGAAACATTTTGAGTCAGCTGAGATTTAATATTGAATTAATTCCCAAGCACAGATAACTCATTTTCTTATGATACAGACTGGAAACAGTTCAAAACAACAAGAGTGTAACAGTCAAAATGTGGGAAGGGAAGTCCTACAACAAAAAATTTATGATTACAGTTGTGGAAAATGACCACGCATGAGTCGTGTGCTGAGATTTCAGAAATGGTGGACTTGATCAGTGTTAGACTCAAAAATAGTTTGATTTGTAATACCTCACATTGAGCTAGCCAGGGATTGATGTTAAAACTATCTTTTAAATGTGTATGTGCTGTTGTGTATATGTGCTTGAATGTGTATGGGCAGATGGATGCATCTGGAGTCTTCTAGGATTGCTCTTACACACGCTTCCTTTTCTGAGCCCAGCTATTTCTATCTTACCGAGGGCTGGTTGATTTTACTTACCTGCCTTGCAGGCTCGCTCTAGGATCCTGCCTCCACCTTCTGAGGCTGGATTACAGGTAGGCTATCGTTTATCTGGGTGTTTGGGATCTAAAGTCTAGTTCTCACTTGCCTGGCAAGTGCCTTAACCACTGAGCCATCTCCACACCCCACAACCACGTATTTCCCACTGTGTGATCTATGCCCTCCACACTTTTTATGGCTTGCCCTCCTTCCATTACCTTAATGTGAAATCACTGCACAGTAACGGGAGAACAGTTCCCTTTGGCATAATCACTCCTCTTACCCAACCACCAAACAGCTTGTAAATCAATGTGGCTTCAGTAGCCAAACCCAAGGACAAAGTATTAGTATGAAGGTTAGCATTTGTTTTATATGGGAACTATGCATATATGCTGTAGATTACTATGTCCTGCAGAAAATTTGTCAGGAAAATGTTAATTTCATGATCAAATGTCTTTTGGGGATGTCAAGTTAAGGATAACTAAACCATTTTCCTTAACAAAATTTTTCTAGGACTTTTTGATATAGTTATATGAAAACGTGATCCTCTGAAATCATCCTGAAATTTGTGTGTGTGTGTGCGCGCGCGCGCGTGTGTGCGTGCGTGTGTGTGTGTGTGTGTGTGTGTGTGTGTGTGTGTGTATGTGTGTGTGTATGTGTGTGTGTATGTGTGTGCCCCTGTCCACACCCACTTAGGTGTGGAGCATCCTTCAACATTCACACCTTGTGGATATGGGGTCAAATCACACCCACCTATTTTAGTATTCTGATAATTTTTTAAAAGTCAGAGGAAGTCATATGAAGTCTGAAGTAAAGCTGTGGTTGACTTAGGATTTCAATATAGTTACGTTTTCTTCAGAAGCAGGTGAAGAGAACTAACCCTGCTGTCAGACTGCTGCAACAAAATACCTGCAACATGGGAGCATAATTCATCAGCTTGAAAACAATAGCATGTGGGAAGCAGGACATTCCTTTGGTGCATATTCATCATACTGGTCTGAACATCTTTTGCACCATTCATCTCTGTTCAAAAGGTATCGGAACCATTTTAGCTTCTCTAGTGTATGTTTTGAAACATCAGCTCTGGGATGTAAAAGGACACCAGAGCTTGTTTATGTTATGAGTGGGGCCATGAGTTACATTAGAATGTTTTGTAGCTTGAAGCCCCCATCAGACTGCTATGCTCTAGCCCACCGGTGGAACTGTGGGAGGGTTGAGTCTCTTCACCACTGTGCTGGGTCACAAGAAACTGAGGCGTGGATGACCGGCGGCTGAGCAGACACCAGGTCACCACGAGCATTTCCAGAAGACCTGAGGCCTCTGGTGTGAAGCAATGTAAAGGAAAACAAGGTAGGTTTGGACTCAGGCAAGTGTTTTCTGTGCAGATTGGAGGTGTGGCTCTCACATGAATCTTTACAGCAGAAGCAAGCAGACCTTTCTGCTTAGCCTGAGTCCATGGATTTACAGGAACTTACCAAGACCAGACCACTTTGCTGCTCACACATTACCCAAGGATCTAGTCTAGACTGACGTAAAGCCTCAGTAGGTCTCTGATTGTGGGCTGAGCACCAACTTTATGCAGGCTCCTGTCTTCCTCTCCTTCTCTTGTGTTTCCCTCTCCACATTCTCTCTTTTTATACACCCCTGGCATTGAAGGATGAGGAGGACTGTAATTGTCATGGTAGATATTCTTGTATAGATACATAGTTAATATGAATGTTCCATACATTAAAATAGCTTTTTATTAAAGTAGACAATGTTTGTCTGGCATTTGTATCCATTGTAATAGTTCTATGAAAGAAAATGTCTCTGTCTCCCATGTCTTAGTTCTCATAGGAGCTGCCACTGACTGAACACTTGGCACCTTGGATTAACTAGTGAGCCCCTGAACATGAGCTAGAAGTAATGCTACTCCCTCACATTGATGAACAATTGGAGCACAGAGACATTATGCGACTTGTAGAAGATCACACAGCAGGCAAGCAACTCGAACTCAGGTAACTTGACTGTGGAGCCTCTGCGCCAATTACTAAGTGATCATAGTTTGAAAAGTAAAACATTATGCATCCTCCTCTATCCAAAGAAGCTTTTTATTAAAACCACCTGAAGGAGGAAGAGAGGCCTTTCTCTCTTCTTGGAGACAGTGCAGGGAGGGACCAAGCACAGAGTGGTTGCTGAGTCTGCCTCTCTGTCAACCGACTCTCAGCTGCAGGACTGGTGTGACAGAGCAGAAATTTTGTTCTAGTTGTATTTTGTTTTATTAATTCTATGGAAATTCTTGTCTTATTTTTAAAATTCCTGGTTACCCAAAAGATAATCCACGTTCCAATAAGAAAGATGAGGTGCCATTTCTCATCTAGTTAGTGTCTGTGGTTTTTCTGGGCCCCAAAACAAAACTCTTATATCTGTTGGCCAACAGGGGAAGGCCCTGAAGAAGGCCTGTCTGTCTATAACCAGGCCCTGGGCAGACAGTCAGATATAATTTCCCCTGAAGTTTCAGTGAGACATAAAGGACAGTTCAGTGAGTAACTAGTGTCCCCAAGTCACTTCTTCCTGGGAGAGTTCTTAGCTGCTACATGCTCCGCTCAGTGTTCTGTATCACTCTAACAGGATGCCTTACTCCAAGTGAGGATAACTCTGCGAGCTGCTTTTTTTTTTTTTTTTTTTTTTTTTTTTTTTTTTTTTTTTCCGAGACAGGGTTTCTCCCTGTAGCTTTGCGCCTGTCCTGGAACTCACTCTTTAGCCCAGGCTGGCCTCCAACTCACAGAGATCCACCTGACTCTGCCTCCCGAGTGTTGGGATTAAAGGTGTGCGCCACCATAGCCTGGCTGCGAGCTGCTTTTTAAAGAAAGATAATATTTCCAAAGACAAGGCATCCTTATCCTGCCAAACCAAGGATGCCTTGTCTTTGGAAATAATTGGTTCTTTTAAATAAAACAGGCTTATTTAACTATATTTGTTATTTTTCTGTGATTTATGACACATAATTTCATTGTTTTATATTCTATGATTACTTTAACTTCTTTTATCTTCTGTATGGATTTTTTTCTATTTCCCTCCCTCTGGTACTTTACAAGTTATAAATTTTATCTCTATTGAAGTGGATGCATTTTCATTTTTACCATGCTTATTTAACTCCATTTTCCTGCATACTTGTGGAGTTCTTTATTTGTCAAGTAAATAACCATTCTTAGCATGAGTAAATGTCCTTTACTAAGGAGGGCACAGCATAGGCCAGACACAGTCTCAGCACTGAGAAAGCAGCTATGGGCAAAACTATGGTCTCTGAATCAATGCATTTTGCTTATGCATTTTCAGTTGTATGGGGTGATGCTGAGCATGTAGAATCCCATACTACCACTCTGTTGTCCTGATCAGATGAGGCTCTTTGTAGCTAACAAGCCTCCTCAATGTTGCAACACACATACCAGTTCTTCCCACACTCATCTGCTCATAAGTTTCATTTAAGGTGACTAATGTTCAGATCAGAGCCCAGTATGTTCTCTGAGATGCAGCTGGGAAATGTGAGAGGTCTAGTGAAGCTTTCAGTTTTGCCTGGTGGTTGGAGAAACACTGTTTGATATGTGTGATTCTGTAAATAAAAAGTCAGCAAATTTATGAGAAAAGCTTGTGTGATTTTGTTAAAACCAGTGTTTTCCCTCAATTGGGCTACTTGGTCTGTGACAATTCTTAGGAGCATTAGCAAGTTGCTGAATATGTGACACATCTATTCCAAACAGGTTGAAATCCCCATTTCAAAGTTAAGTGAACTCGTGATTTTTCTCCTAGCCAAGATATCTCATAAACAGGAAAAATATAAAAGGACTACTCACTGTTCAGTCTTTTTATAACTTTATCTATAAATAAAATATATAAATAAAAAGATCTGGTGCATGCTATACCTACTCACAATTTTTTTCTGGTAAGCATCTTATAACATATTAAGGACAATATGTCTTTTAAAAAATAATGAAACTAAGAATCTATTTTACATTTACACATTTTTGTGTTTTTTTTTACCTGTTATATCAATGTTACAATGCATCCACCATCACCAAATAACTCTAAATCTAAACACTTACTTTTCATGACAACATTGAAATTTAGGAGATTTGACAATTTTAAGATACATCTATTTAATAGGAACATTTCACTGGAGAGTTGGATTTGATGTTAAAGTTAACAGTTCATTTTAAGCTATTCGTAATATACAATGATCTTGCATGGTGAATTTGCTAATTCATTAATGTCAGGCTAGTAGTATATTACCTACATGCATAAACAAGTTATACTGCCAAAAAAGAAACTGCACACTTGACATAATTACTCATGACAAAATGTTACATCCTCACCTATTGAGTCAGGCAGCTGTTGCAACATATTGGATGATAGTAAGAGGTCCTCAAGGGCTTCACATCCAGAAATATCCATGTCAACCGTTTCTATCCTGTTTTTTGACATATCCAGGTATACCAACATCTTTAACTTCCCTATAGACTTGAAGACAGTGCATAAACTCAGGGTTAGTTTGGGAAATTTCACAAGGCACTTGAAGCTGTAAAAACCGTGATGTTGTGAATTAATTTTAAAGCCACCATGACAATAAGGAGGATATGGAAGCATTGATCAAATGTACACTGATTGGAAAGCACACTGGTGCATCCATTTCGAAACACAGAATCCCTACACAACCTATATACCCCTAGGTCTATTCTGCACAATTAAAAACACAAGTGCACACAAATGGTCACAGATGCTTTATTCACAGCAGTCAAGTGGCAGCAGCCTAAACCTGCCTCAATGATTGCATGGGTAAGCAAAAGTGGCCTGCCTGCATAATGGATATTATTTGGCAGTGAATGAAGTGTTGAAATATGCTACAAAATAGCTGAACTTTAAAAGGTGCAAGTCACAAAAGACCACACATGTAGAATTACACTCATATGCAATGTCCAGAATGGGTAAATTTATAGACAGGAAGTAGAGAAGATTGCCAGAGATTTAGGATTGCTTTTTAAGGGTGATGGAAATATTCTAAAGTTAGGTTGTGATGATGTTTAGAGAACATTGTGAATCTGCTAAAAAAAAATCCACTGATTTGTAAATGCTTATGAATTATATCTTACTGCAGTGGTTATAGATGAATTCTGAGTCAATGCAGCAGTCAGAATACAACAGTTTTGAAATTTTCCAATGGAGAACTGAGCATTGCATAGTATCCTTAAGGTTTAGATGTCTCAGAAAGATTTAAAATTATAATTTGGGATTGATTCTGCTAATTAGAATGTGGGAGGCAAGGAGGTCTTTGTACTCACAGATAAGGACTAGGGGAACCTGGAAGTTAAACATACAGGTTGTTCCTTCAAAGAGAGGAATACATAACCTGTCATCCACCCAGAAGTCATCCCCAGACCTTTATCATAAGCTCGTTTTTCTCAGTCAATCTACAGAATCCATCTTTATGGAATGTGTCACATGTACTTTACAAAGAGTTTTGATATAATCATGTTTGATCTTTATCTAGCTTACTTTGTTCCTCAAAGAGATTTATGTATTCTTTATTGTGTGTATAGAATTGAGTTAACCAGGAAAGTTTTCACCAAGTTGTGCTGTGTTTAAATATGCCTAAAATGAACTACTCAGTTCATTTGAACTGAAGTTCGAACCAACATTGGCTACTTAGTTATGTTGAACCAAACATCTTTCTTGCCTCTCCAAGATCATTGCTCTGTTGGCCATGGTGGTTACAGAGACCCCTGCATTAGAGGTTCAACATTCTGCTCATTCACCAGCCCTTTCTGAGACTCTCTGTTATATGCTACTATCTGTGCTATGTATTAAGACAACATCATGAGCCAGGCAGATGTATCTGGGAAGAAACTTGTCTGGATGAAGACAAGACACTTTAAAAATTTGAAACAAATTATTGTGAAGTGCAGGCATGTCTTCAGCTCAGACCATTTCTTCTTCCTCCTTCCTAGGGCTGTGATCATAGCTGCTCAACACTATGATAGTCAAAATGAGTTTTTTTTTTTTTTTTTTTTTTTAGGTTTTTCGAGACAGGGTTTCTCTGTGTAGTTTTGCGCCTTTCCTGGAACTCACTCTGTAGCCCAGGCTGGCCTCGAACTCACAGAGATCCGCCTGTCTCTGCCTCCCAAGTGCTGGGATTAAAGGCGTGCGCCACCACCGCCCGGCGAGTTTTTTTATCTTTAGGGAGTTTACATTAGTGAAGGCAACATCCAAAGAAACAATAAAAATACTCTTGATATGTGCATGAAAATTCATGTGGGAAATACTACAGAAGAAAGGGGGAAGGACCAAGACTGTCCAGCAGTTGTCATATGTCAAGAAAGAGGAAACCCAAAGGAATCAAGATGGTTCAGTAAATAAAGTGCCTGCTACAGAAGTCTGAGGACTCCAGTTCAATCCCTGGCACCCATGCAGAAAGCCTGGCATGGTGGTATATGCTTGCAATCCTAGGACTAGGGAGGCAGAGACAAGCTCATTAGACAGAGAGCCAGTCTAGCTGAATCAATGAGCTCCAGGTATAGCAAGAGATGCTGTCTCAAAAGATAAGATGGAGACTGATTAAGGAGGGCACCTAATATTGATATCAGGACTCTACATGTGTGTACCACATGTATATACACACTCATACTAGTACACAAAGAAAGCAAAAGAGGGAACCTGCAAGATCACAGAGAAGCTTGAAAAAGTATGACATGTTGAGAGATTTAATAACTTAGAGTGACTGAAGTTTGCTGAGCTCAGGTTTTCAGGAAGAGGACTGCTGTAAAAAGGAACCCCATGTTGTGAAGGCATGAAAACTCTAACTTGCAGGTAAGAGGAACTATTAAAAGGTTTGTAAGACAGGGAATGACTTGATCAGATCTGTGCTCAGAAAAAAATAACACCAGGGAACTTTCAAAATGGCAGATTCATGATTGGAATCAAGGAAGTCCACTAGAGGTGCTGAACTGTGGGCCTGAGGCATCCACAACAATCATGCATCAAAAATATGCAAAGCTGCTGGGTGTGGTGGAGGAGCTCAAGTTAGTATTTGCATTATAGTGGCTGTTATCCATAATACAGAAAGCTTTAAGACATTTGGAAGGTCCACATGGTTATACAAGCATTAAGACTTCAGCATCTGTGGATCTTGTCCTGTGGTTGCAGGATCTTGGAAGAATCTTCTAGACACCAAGGGACTACTAACTACTGGACAGAATCTTTTCTGTGTAGTAGCCAGGTACCTAAGGCAGTGGACTCAAGGAGGAAGAGAGATGAGCTCAAGGAAGATGTGAAGTCAAATCAAGGGTTTCTAACTGACTGCATAGGGTGGGAGGGTCAGCTCCTAACAGTGGTCACTAAACTTGTAGGTGGACAACAGAAAACAGCTAGGTAAAAGCCTTCATCTTGCTTTGTTTCAGGATGTTTGCAGACAAGTGCCTCATACTTTGATTGCTCAGCACTTCACTCATTTGATCCACCTAGGAACACCTTACCATTTGTCTTACTTATTTGGCAGAGTCTAAATAAACCAGTAAAATTAATAGACAAACACTTGGCACTGAGCTAAAGGTTTTATATTGAGAGTCGTTGGTAGCAAAAGTTCATACAGTATACAGCAGTGACAACTAGAGTTCAGAAGGTCAACCTATCAGAACTAAGGGTTCTGTTAGAGGAAACCATCATGCAAGATGTTATGGAATTACTGCCTTTTTTTTTTTTTGGAATTACTGCCTTTTGAATGAACCGACTGTCTCTTGTTGTAAACTTCTTGTGCAATAACAGCTATGATTCTCCCCATTTACTATGCATTTCCATGTTATGTGTACATGTACTCTCACGATTGCATCTCAATCTTATGGGCACACATAATTGTGAATAGTCTAGAAGATCGTTTCTTATTTAACTGAACAATTTTTATGAATAGAAACATACTAATATATGCTTCATACTAGGTCTATTGTTCCATATGGACTGTAGACACAGAAGTTTTGTTCTCCATCCTTAGCCACTGACAAGGCAAATATTGGCCAGACAAAGTGTCTTCACAGAACTTTCACAGAGCAGAATTGCAGGTGTCTGGCCTTGTTAGATCAACACTCTTCAGAAGGATTATAGTGAACCAGAAGTGATAGTGCAGGTGTCTGGCCTTGGTGTATCTTAGTCCTTCAAGAGATTAACAGCACCTATGTTGTCCTAAGCTTCCTCCACCAGCACCTCCCCACTCTGATTCAAATAACAATTAACACTTTGTATTAATTTATACACCAGTTCTTAATGCAAGATTTTAGGCTCAATAGACTAATTATATACAGGTCCTGAGATTCAGGTGATTAACAGAAAAATGCTGTTAACTGACTAATCATATCTGGATATTATTAATTATATAAAATAGCACACATATTCTTTGCCTTTTTCTTAAATCTCTCATTGGTTTAATTTTTCTCCTTGTAACCTTTGTAACTATCCCTTTAAGAGATAGCCAGAACTTTTTACAACCTGCAGCTGTTGTCAATCACCAATTAAGTTGACTAAGTCTTTGCCAAGTGTGACTCTTATCAGAATACTTCTCCCTGAGAGTTTACTTTGTAGTTTTTACTAACAAGTTGTTAATGAATGGATATATATATATATATATATATATATATATATATATATATATATATATATATACTTGGAGAAAAAAGAAGGAAAAAAGATAGAAAAGACCTAGATAGATATGAGAGAACAGCAAGAAAAGAATTGACTGAGAACAAAGATGAGGACGGAGATGGAAAGAACTAGGTAGAATGATGAGAGAACAGCAGAAGGGACTGAGAGCAGGAGGGACTGAGAGGAGCTAAGTATGAGAACAGAAAAGAAACTGTGTAGATAGAATTGACTGAGAAGAATGAAGCGAATGGACTAAAGAACTCAGTGTGCTTAGATTCATTGAATATCCCTCAGATTGGAATCCTCAGCTGGTTGTTAGACTCTTCCACGGACCCTGGGTGCACACAATATAAGCTGGACCTATTATTGTTTGCGATAGTTTTATATATATTTTATTTAATATTCTATATTTTTGTGACCCAGTCTGCCATGCACACCAGCTACAGTGTCCCACTTTCCTCTCTCCCTGGCCTGTTAGAAAAGCAGACTCTTCAGCCCCCCTCAGATCCGCTCTTCACAGCTGCCTCTAGCAGGCACTCATGCTTGGAGCTTAAGATTGTGAATGAAGTTCCCTAGGAAGCAAAGACAATGACAAGTTCAGCACAGAGTCCTCTTAGAATCAAGGAAAGAGGACAGGAGGGGCAGGGAAGGAAGGAAGCTGACCTGGACATCTGAGGAAGCTGACCTGTGAGGAAGTCCCCAACAAAGCTTCCCAAAAAATTCTGAAGCTGAGCTCCCCAACCCCACAGGTGTCTGAGCAGAGGCTGGGGGGCTGGGTCTTTGTGTCCTGCATTTGTGGATTATTGAAGGAACATTATCCAGAATGGGGTTTTGACCTTGAGTGAGGAGGTCAAATTCAGAAAAGGGGATCTAAAGAGGCCAGAGGAGCTGCATGCAGTGTTTCCAGAAGCTGCCAAACAGAGAAAGTTCTTCATTCCTGAGGACACATTAATACATGCTTTCTATGTGCCATTCCCAGGTTGCTCTGAGAATAAGGGCTGGAACTGAAATTGAATCTGCTTGGATTGAACTAAAGATCTTCCTGTCTCTCAATCCCCTCATTAACTCAGAGCTTCATCCTGCATCTTTAGGTCCCTGTGAAGCTGTGTAGAAGCAGACATTAGAGGAGTTGGCCCTCCAGAACGGAGGAAAAGAAGGCATTAGGTGGCATTTCCCCAGTTCAGAAGAATATCACTTAATAAAAAACTGCCACTTTGCTATTCATGTCCCACCCCAAGGAAGTATGAGTCATGGTAGTCCTCTCTTTTCTAGGAGTAAAGGACTCCATGTGCTTTTGCATTGTTCCCTCCTCTATCCTTTAATCAGGAGAAGGCTTTCATTCTTGAAGCTGCTCTCAATGCTGCCTTGCTATCTCCTGCACTGACCAGCATCTTCCGTGCAGTTTCAAAACATTCTGTGGAAGACAAACAACACTTGGGTGTTTATTGTTGAGTCTTTCAAACCTTCTACAGGCACCCTACCCTGCAGCAAAGGTCTCCAGTTGTTGGGAAGGTCGACTTGCCCAGCACCACTCTAGGTGCACACGGATCCATAGGTGAGTGACAGAAATCACAAGATGAGGAAGATGTCAGAATATTCAGAAACAACATAAATTCATGCACTACTTGGTCAGAGTTTGGTGTATGAACTTTATATTGGGAGTTGTAAGATGGAGCTTTGTAGAAGACGAAATACTTGGTTATTCTCTTTGCCTCTCTGAGTTATAAAAAATGAGTAAAAATACAAGAGTTTAGGCTTCTAAAAGTATATTAAATTAATGTGTTAGAATGCAAGAGCAAGGGAAACAGTGGATTTGCTTTTTCCCCCATACCTTTTCAGAGTAAATACTAAGGGTTATTCATCTTTGAGACTGACTGATAGATAGGACTGCAGACTGCACTGGAAATGAGCAGGTAGCCAAGGTCATGTAGAACTGGATAGCAGGCTGGGTCACTTAAGCTGGGAGGAGTGGGGTATTCACACACAGGGCATAGCAAAGTGTCAAATTAAGGCATACTAAATAAAATTAGCCATGGACCACAGCTGCAATCTAGTGGATTAGATGCAAAAGTTTCAAAAGAGACAGGTTGGACAAGATTTTTTTGTCTCACCACTTACTCATTTACACCTTCAGATTCTGCAAATGTAACCACTGTAGAAAGTGCATTGACTCCATTTCTTACCTGTACCTTCTACAGGTTTCAGAGAATGCATTGACACACACACTATGAGGTCAGACATTGCTGTACAAGAGCAGCAGCTTTGACTTACAGCCCCAGGACTTACTGGCTCTGTGACCTTGGGCTGCACAGAACATACTCATAGGATTTCTTTGAGGATTCAGAGTGAATTTCTATAAGCCAGCGAGGCAGTGCCTCGAACAGTATATGCAAAGTAAGTGGCTTTGAGTAAATGAATATCAAGAAGCTGGTGTAAACTTGCATCTAGGTAACATTCTGACTTTTCCACATCTGCTCAGGAATTAAGAGGTGTTTTATCTGCATTCTCCAGGACTGTACATACACTGGCCTCCTTTCATTCACAGGGATAAGTTCTAAGAAATCCTATGGAAGTCTGAAACTGTGCTTGTGACTCAGTCCTATACAGACTGTGTCTCTCTCTCTATAGTTACCTATGATAAAATTTATCAAGTAAACAGCAACAGCTATCAATGAAATATTAGAACAATAAACTATTAAAAACTGCTATAAGCTGGGCATGGCATTGCACACCTTTCATCTCAGTCCTTGGGAGGCAGAGGCAGGTGATTCTCTGAGTTTGAGGCTAGCCTTGTCTTTAGAACTAGTTCCAGAACAGCCAGGGCTACACAGAGAAGCCTTTGTCTCAAAAAAACCCAAAATAAATAAGTGAAAAATAACTTACCACTTAAATTCATACATTTTCATTTCTGGAATCACTATTATGTGAGTCTCCAAAACAATGTAGTTAAGGGAATTGACTGTAAGATCTCTGTGACTCTGACACTGGCACAGTTTCTGATTATATTAGCAAACAGTTTGTATGAATCAGTAAGCACAGACTTCCTGGTTTGTGTCTGTGATGCTATGGATTTAGCGTTTTCAAAATTAAAAAAAAAGTTTTTTTTTCCTTAATCTTTTTCAAGATATCCCCTTTTCTATGACCTCATGTTTGTTCACAGAGAACAAATGTTGTGTGCACATTAACTTTAAAATAATTTAAAGAAAATTCTAAAGAAGAGTAAAATTTGTTTTGAGGACATGTTAAAACCTCTGTCTTGGCTGAAAAATGATTCTCTCCACATGCCTGGATCCTTAGTCCAGTGACATGTGTGTTGAGGTGGCCAGGAAAGGCAGGTAGTAAGGGATTGGTCTGTTGCATGTGTGAGCACACACTCTTCCCAGTGCATGGCCAGGAACAGCAAGGCTGCTATTGGAAGTCATTCTCTCAGGAGATGGAAACTTCACCAGCAGTCTACCTGCAGAAGCCAACAGGCAAACCTGCTCCATGACGGAACCATCCCTTCACAGAAAGAAAACCTGACTCAGCTTGTGTTGGAAACTGTGTGATCCTTGTGATTTTCAAAGGTGGGTTCTACTGGATAAGAAGCAAACAGGGAAAGCCATTCACTTTGTGGAAGAGCTCTAACAGCAAGAGGGAAGACAGCTGTACAGTTACCTGTGAGAATAGGGTTGCTTTTGTAAAACAATGTGTATTAAAAATTCAACTATGAACTTAGTAGCTTTTAAAATCCAGTGAGTAGAATGAGGGACATCAAGGTAAACTTAACTTTTCTCTTTTTGCAACTCACAAAAGACACAGAACATTAAAAACAAACTCATGAGAAGCACTTGGTGGCTGAAGCCCTGAAAAGTATTAATTTTCTTCCCAAGCACTGAAAATGGAGACATGGGCTTAATGATTAAAAACATAACCAACTTGCAGGAAGTCAGAGCACACTCATGGCAAAGCTTACGTACCCCAGGCAGCACTTGCAATGCATTGTTATCCATCCATAGCTCCCTCAAATTCTGTATTTGATCCAGAACTTCAGGCTGGATGAGCGGCAGAGAGAAAGAGAGGAGAGATAAACCAAATCAGTTTTCCGTGATCACATTAGATGTCATTTCTCAAATCTTGAGCTTTTGTTTAGGAATCTATTATTAATCTAAAAAATTGCAAGTTTAATAACGGACTTCCAAAAAACTCAGCATAGGGATAGTGGACCTAGAATTACCTGGAATCTATCAGAACAATTATAAAAATTAAGACCTATTACCCAGGGATATTAACCTATTTCTTTAATATACTCCAATTATCTTTCATATTATTAATTGTTCTTTAACTACTTGGTAGATTTATTCTTCATATAATGCAAGCCTTTTTCTTTAAAAATTTTAACTTTTATTTATTTTTCATGTGTATGGGAGTTCTACCTGCATGTATGTCTGTGCACCATATGTATGCAGTACCTGTGGGGACTAGAAAGCCTGGAACTGGAACTGGAGTTGCAGACAGTTATGCGCCTCAGTGTAGATGATGGCAATTGAATCTGGAAGAACAGTCAGTATTCTTAACTGCTGAGCCATCTCTCTCCAGCCCAAGTGACATCATCATTTGAAAGCCGTTTTGTAACACTGTAGCTTTACTGTGGCTCTTTGCACACAATTGGTTCTTACTTTGTATGTCTGAGCACCACACACAAATGGCTGTGGGCATAGAGCAATGCAGAACTGTGACATGATAGTCAGGATCTGAGCCTTTGACTTCCTATCTCTTCATTTTTGTCACCAAAGTACTGCTGTTGATGATGAGATGTGAAGCCTTAGAGTGACCCATGAGTCACTTCTCTATGTAGGTCAGGCCAGTTAAACTTTCCCAAATCCTTTTTGCTTGAGAAACCTAGGTCACTCTGGGTATATAAATTAGGATTTTACTGATAAAAATCGTAAAGAAATTTATTTTAAAACATTTCTTGGTACACATATGATTTTAGGATTTTGTGCAAGCAAAAGCAAATGTATGTAATAATGGAAATGTTTAACATAAAGAACTAAACTTCCAGATATGTGATACTGTAGAATTTAGAGCATCTTCAACATTTTTCAGAGTTGATTGGTATTTTGATTTTATAATAATGCTAAGAATGTTGCTTTACACTCACCCCATAGAAAAAGAAAAACACTTGTTTTTAAAAAAATGTTGGAAATTCTATCCCAATCTCAAGCCGAAATTTACCAGATGCATTTTTACAAATGACTTTGTTCTTCTGAATGTTCAGGTCAGTCGTCCTTAGGTTGTTTTTCACTCTTTACTCTTTCAGTTTTGTTGGGTAACATCTAAAATCTGCAGCTCACAAAGGAAGCCTAACTTCAGATTAAGAAACTTTCTTCCACTTTTACTGAAATCTTTTATTTAACAACACACTTGCTTTATTATAAGCCCTTTGGCTCTCACAAGTGGTAAATGTTTTATTCATGAACTTCATAGCCCTTGTTTGAAACCCTGATACACAAAATTGGATGACTGAAATTGCTCAGCACTTGATGAAAAGCCTACTTATGATTCTCTCAGTTGTGATGTACAACATGCCTTGAGATTGTCTAACCTCTTCAGTTAATTTCTTTGGAGACGGAAAGGTCACCTCCATAGGGTTTGAGCCTGTTTCAAGGTTACATTAATTTTATTCTTCTCTGTTTTGTTTTAGAATCAATCCCACTAAAATGCCCATAAAAATTTAAAGCTTTGTTTTAACACATCCACTTTCCATAATATATAGAAAGAAAATGATGTTATATTTCGGTAATTGTTGAATGAACAAATAGGTATTCTAGTGACAATAATGAAAGGCACTACTGAGAAAATGTAATTGATTCATAATTAATTAAAATACTTTAAACCATAAGCTCTTATGAATATTTTAATGTCTATGTGTTTAATATATCCAATTTAAATACTCAGATGTGTATATTGATGGAATAGAGGAAAAGATGACATGATGTGGGGAAGGAGAGCCAATATGTGAAATGATAAAATTAGCATAGCAAGAGAGCTAAAGATGCTGGAATGCTGGCCAGTTCTCAAGAAGTGAAGTTGGCAGAGGCTCGTGTAGAGTCTTAGTGCCTAGACCATGCTCAGAAGTCTGGAAGCAGAAGCTGAACAAAATTGAGAATTTAAGTCAAGAGTGAGCTTGGTATTCACTGTTAATTCATTCACTCTACAGACAGCTCCTCCACACAAGAAGAAACTACAGCACCTGGGAATGTGATCAGACAGTGGCAGGCTGTCCTGTGTTTGCTTCTTTGAATGCCCTATTCCATAGATGCCAGTAGATCATGTGTGAATGACAGAATTTTGCTTTCTCTGAATGCTTAAGTGCAAAGAGGTCTTTAACAAGGTGGACTTAAGCAGAATGTCTGGAGATAGCGCTAGAGGATAAATGGCTAAGGTGATCTAGAGTGGAGAAGAATGGTTGCCACAGACACTCATCTTTAAACATAGCAGAGTTGTTATAAGGAAGCAGGGCTGGTTTCATCTAATTCCACAGTTGGACTAGAAATAATTATCAGAGTCACAGGGACAGAACAAAGTCTGCATCAGTGGATAGGGAATGTCCCCAGTTAGATGTGTCCAAAGGAAATAATCTAATCCCCTTTCAGATAGAGTGGCTCCTCTATCGAATAAACATGTAACTGCCTAGGGAAGCATAAATAATAAAATAATCAATAACAAAAGCTAACACTTGTTGGGTACTCACTATAGCAAGACACTTTTAAAAGTTTTTGTTTGTGTTTTTGAGATAGGGCTTCAAACATGCCAGGCTGGCCTCAAACTCACTGTGTAGCCAAGGATGACTTTGAATTTCTGACACTGATATGTCCCACCATACTCAATTTATATGATGCTGAGGACAAACCAAGGTCCTTGTGCATATTTGGAAAACTCCACCAACTCAGTGCAAGCCCCATTAAGGTGTTTTTCCACAGATTATTTTCACTAATGTAGTTTTAATCAATCATTGAGGGAGATGTCATTGCTGATAGGCAGTAGGAATAACATTGAAGACTTGGGCTTGGGGATGGACAGATCCAAGCTGTCACTTTCTTGGCTAAGGTTCTTCATCAGTACTAGGTAATGACAGCAGCACTACCCTCATGGGGAGACTTCTAAGAGTTTTTGTTTGCTTACATCCAATTCTGTTGTTACAGCAAAATAACCAGGGATTGGTACTCTATGAAGTAAAGAGGTTTACCAAGTTCCCAATTCTGGTGCCTACAGGCCTCTGTTTCATCAAGGACAGAAAAAGAACTAAACACAGAATGAAGGAAGGGAAAATTCTAGCTAGATTCCTCTACAGTCCTCTGGGAACTAGCTCCTCTCCATATGAGGACTACATTAATTTCTGTCAAGGGCAAGGGCTTCAGTGACTTAATTATCTCCAGTCAGGCTCTATCTTTGAAAGGTTCAGTCACCTCTCAGCACTGTCACACCTAGACTAAGTTGTTGAAAGATGAACCTTTGGAGAAAATGGTTCACTCATGTCCAAACCACTTGGTGCTCAGTGCTTGGTGAGTTAGCTTTAATCTTCATTTCGTAGGGATCAGTGCCTAAAGAAACAGATGAATGTGCTCCAAGTTATATAACCATCATATGAGGAAGGCTAGCCTGATCTTAAAGTCATATGAACTATGATGACTATGTTTCAGGAGCAGAGAAACATCCTGGGGAAAATGACAGGTGGTTCACATGTGCATGGTGTCACACGTCTCAGGCAGAGACTTTTAGTAGGAAGAGGTCAGATGCCTGAGTTTTGTTTTGAATCTTTTGACAAATTCACTCAGCATTTATTAGATCCTATCACACTTCAGAATGGAGAAATAACAACACAGTATAGTCCCCTTGAGAGTTGTGTGCAGATAGTTCATGTTTCCTGACTTGGTCAAGGAAAGCAATTCTGATTTCAGATACCTTACTTTACAGCACCACCATTCACTTAGACCTCAAATTTGTTAACTGAGCAAGACTCTAAATTTAAGAGTCAAAATTATGTAACAAATGTACTCTCATCTCATATTGTGAACTAGTTTTATTTTCTTTTTCTAAAAACTGTAGCCATTTACTTCTTCCAGGTTATATGTTTATGCAGTTGGGAGCTATGTCAATGTTCTCACTCCTGTTTGTAAAGTCTTCCATTACCCAAAGATTACAAACCTTAGATTATATAGAACATGTCACATCTGACCTGTGCTTACTCCTTGTCCCCTCCTGGTGCCCTGTAGGCATGAAGAGTCCCACTTCCCAAAGCTTTTATGTTTACTACTGGCATCTGGTCATCCTGAGCCTATTTGCTGGTCCCTGGCTGGCACAGACATCCTCTCTGCTGTTGATATCCCACCCACAGCGACGAGCATGTGACACTGAGGTGCAGGAACCCAGATATGAACTCCCTTGTGACCTTTGTTTCCCACTCCCTCCAAAGCAACTTATTTGTGGAAATGCTCTTAAAAGCCCATTTGAATTGAACAGAAAAGCAACGAATGCTCATAATTGGTAGTGTCTTCAATTCCTTTTCAGTCACTCTCTTGCATAACACACTGATTGCCATCACAGTGATCATTATCACTCCTGCAGTCTCAGTTGTGAAGATACCATTTGTTGACCACTCCTCCTTACATGGTTGTTTAACTTAGCCCAGCACCCCAGAAGACCCATATAGCAGTTACCAGTGCATCTTATCACAACTGTTCTTATTCTCTATTGGCCTCTCTCCTTCCTTCCCAAGTGTAGATGCATTATAAACAGTTTTTCAGCATATCATTTAGCAAACTCTTGGCACAGTCTTCTGAACTTAGCATGGGTTGAACAGGACTTTCTGCCTCTTCTGCAACCATACCAAGATTTGTTGGAGAAAGTTACAATTTGGCTATTGATTTCCCTTTATATTCCTGACAAATGCCTCAAGTGGGGATTGGAAGCTTGCTATTCAACCGTTGTCCTCCAGGAAATTGCTTCTCACTCTGAAGATGACGATTTTTTTTTACCCTTGTCCAAAGTG